GGACAGCACGTGCAAAGGCCCTGATGGGTAGTCTGCTGGACATATCTGAGGAACAGCATTTGAGCCCCTGGATCCAGCCATACCTGAAGACTGAGTTTCCCCACAAGGTATGAGAAGCAATCACAGCTGCCTCTGGTGTCTGGATCCAGAGTCCTGCTCACATGCACTGCCGGAGCTAGGGGTGAGCAAAAGGGGCCTAACCAACCTTAAACAGGATTCCCGCCTTTATCCCATCCCCAGAAGGGTATACACAGTGGGGCGACAGGATCAGGTTTGTGTTTCATAGCAGTCACACTGGCTGCCATGGGCTTTGGTCTAGAGGGCCAGGGTGAAAGCAAGGAGAGCACCCAGGAGGCAGTGACCCAGGAGGGAGAGAGTTGGAAGGCAGAGACTGAGCCTGTAGCCCAGGGCCTTTGCATGGCCTTGGAGACCTCACCCCTTCCCACAAGGCCTCATGCCCATTCTTTAAGCCTGAGGTGTCCTGTCTGAACCCCCCTGCATGCCTGAACCTGAGGCCTCATCCCCCTGCACGCTGGCACTTTCACATGCAAGGAGGCCCTCTGACTATTCTTCTGTCAGTGTCACTGGAGCCCTCATCTCCGTGCCTCCGCCCCCCGTGGAGGAACACGTCACTTCGGTCTGCAGTTATTTCAAGGTTGAATTCTCGCGATGGAATTTATCTTTAGAACTTGAGTCACAGATCAATTCAGGATGGCTGACAAACCGAGATGACAGACAGTGAAGCCTGCCGCTGCTCCTCCGTGTGGCAGGATGACACCTCTGCGGCGAGGACGGCCATGCTGGGGCTTCTCCACATGACCAAAGGGCCACCCTGTTGAGGGGTCATTCCCTAGATTTCTACTGGGACCCCCCCTCCCAAAGACCAGAAATCTTGATTTGCTGATTACATGAATATTTAAGACCCTGGGCTATGTGGGTGCCTCAACTCCTTCTGTGTTAGTTTCCTGGGGCCACCATAACAAACTGACCGTGGTGGCTTAAAGCACCAGAAATTTACCCTCCTGCAGTTCTGCAGGCCGGAGTCCACACTCGAGGGGCGAGCAGGGTTGGCTCCCTCTGGGGGCTCTCAGGGAGCATCGGTCAGCCTTCTCCCCTGGACTCTGGCGGCTGCCAGCATCCTTGGTGCTGCGTGGGCAGCAGAGGCATCACTCCAGCCTCTGCCCCCATCACCACGTGACCATCTTCTCCGTGTGCCCCTTTCCACCTCCTCTAAGGAGACTCATTGAATTTAGGGACCACACTAAGCCAGTGTGATTACATCTCCATCCTTCTTAACCACATCTGCAAAGACCCTATCCCCAAATACGGTTACATCCTGAGGTTCTGGCTGGACATGAATTTTGGGGGGGCCTATTCAACCCTCTACAGGTGGGGTGACTGTTTCTCAGTCCATTCTCTGACTTGCACCTGGCATTTCAGGTCTCCCTAGCGGCCTCAGGGACACGAGGAGCCACCCAGGGGGACACGACCAGCCGGGCGGAGGTGGGCCTCCCCGACACGGAGAGAAGGCTTCTCCGCTTCTGCACAGCCCCCACAGACCAGCTCGGATGCGGCTGTGCTTTGGGGTCAGGAGAGCCAGAGGGACCCACGCGGCATGGCCAGCAAAGGTGTCCTAATTAAGGTGGAGCGCCAGCCCCTTTCCCAGCAGAAGGGCCTCCAGATCCACTGCCCGTCCACCAGACTCAAGGGCAGAGCTCCGTGCGGGACCAGGGGAACCCTGCCATGCTCGGGCCACACCTTCCAGGGACCCACGAGAACTACTTCTCATGGCAGGCCCCCGGCTTTTCCCCCGCCCCCTTCTTCCTAAAGGTCCCAGCGCACGTCCTGAAAAGAGAAACTGCCATGGTTAGGTTTCCGGGGCTCAGGGTCCCAGGCACCTCGGCCTGCACACGGGGAGAAACAGGGCCGTTAAGGAAACATGAGGGCTGATTCCCCAACCCCGTAGAACCTGAGGCAGCAATTTTAAGAGGCGCCTTAATTTATTTCTAAACAGAGACAAACATAGCATTAAATCATTATCAGACATGAGAAAAGCAGCGCAGCAATCTGGCTTTCATTTGACTCCATTTAGTTAAAAGCAGCTTCCTACAGGAGTGGGAGGAGGCAGGCGCGAGAGGGAAGGAATAAAATACCACCACGGAAAACGCCCTGATGGAAATGAGAAGGCTCCCTGTGGAAGCTGGTGCGCCTTCGCGTGCGGGGAGAAAGCCCGGCGCCCAGCCCTCGGCAGATCCGCGGCGCGGGCCGGCTTCTCATGTGAATCGCGGCGCCAGCTGGACCAAGGAGGGCAACCAGGAAGTCAGACGGAAAAGTGAAACGCCAGTCCAAGTCTAGGCATCGACTCAGAACAGTCTGGGTCACAAAGGAAGGGAGCAGGCCCATCCCCGCCACCCAGAGAGCACAGCGACCTTGACAGGGCTCGGACGCCAGGATGGGAGCCCGGAGACGGCCTGGCCGATCGCAGCCATGGTGCTGGCTGTTACGGAACACTGAAACTTTACCATAAAAGGAACCTCTATTCTTTGTGAGAAAAGAAAAAAAGACAGAAAAAGAAAGGGAGGAGGAGGGGAACCGCTCAGAATGGCATTAAGTTTTGAAAAGCACAAGACCCCATCTTGTGCCCGATTCTCATTCCCCAGAGGGGCTTCAGATCCTGACCTGTGCCCAGGAGCGGGCTCTGTCCCCAGAGTCACCAGACGGCCACAGCCCGCTGGGGGACGGGGACTGGGAGGACGGAGGGTAGAAGGGCAGAGGAGGGGAAAAGAACGCCTGTTTGAAGAACCCTCTTTCCTGACCTAGCAAAGCATGGATGCCCCCCCTAGCCGAGCACAGGCTGACCCGCCCCGTGGGCACCGAGGCCACGGGCAGCTCATCCCAAGGGCCGCACGTGGCCTCAAATGTGCACAGGGCCAGGACGAGGGGAGGACGGATCACTAATTCGGCCCCCAGTCTCAGTCCTGGGCGAGGTGCCTGTCCACCCCAGACCCTCAAGCTCTCATCACCCCCAGAACCAAGTCCAGACTCCTCCTTCCAGCCCACAAGTCCCCGTGACCTGGCCGGCCCCCGACCCTGCTCCGGCCCCCTTGTCCCTCCAGTCCTCCACCCTCTTGCTAAAGCAGAGCCCCTCCTTCACGCCCTTACCCTGCTTGGCCCCCTCACAGGCTTTATTGCTGCCTGACCTATACAATGGGCCCATTTGTTACTTCCAGGCCCCTCGAGGAGGTCGGTTCCTGGGGCAAGGACCGTGTCTAGTTCATGGCACCGCAATGTGCCCACCCCCCGCACTGTGGCCAGCACAGAGGAGCACTCAGGTCATGGATGAACAAGTGAATGAGGGAGTGATGAATTGCAGTTTCTCTAGCTGATCACATCTCTCTTGCCAAAGGCCAGGCCACTGCTTCCTCGTGTGCCTGACCGCCCCAGGCCTGCCCAGGAGGGGCACCACCACCAACCAACTCTGACCAGACAGCACCGGCTTCATTTGGCTCTGCTGTTCCCACCTGCGCACAGTGGGGAACAGCGCACCCACCCAGAGGCCGTGCAGAGGCGTGCCCAGCTGGCTGGGGAGGGCGGCCAGCTGCTAAAGTACACTTCACAGGAGCGCAGTCAGGACAGCAGGCCAGCTCCTTACAGCCCCCGACCTGGGCACCCAGAGCAGAAGGCCCCAAAGGGCCCCCAGTCCAGGCTTTGTCTTTCAGCCTAGACGTGGGGCAAGAAAGCTCTTGTGGACCCACCATTGCGCAGGGACGAAGCAGACCCCAGTGGATGTACCTCTCTAGGAAAAGCAGCATCCCCTTGATATTCCGGCTCTTGAAACCATCTGGAAGTGGGAAAAGATGAAACGAAAAAGTCCTGTGCCTCCCCCACCACGCGCATCCCCTCCCCACTTGCTCCCCATCCCACCCTGTCTCAGCCAGGACAGCGAGCAGTTAGGTTCCAGATGTCCTTCCTGTAAAGGGTGCCGGAGCCACACAAGTGACCTTTCAAAGCGCTGCCAGTCCAGGAGGGTCTTTCTGTCTAGGGTAGGACAGCGCCTCAGGTGTGAGAGCGCAGAGCGAGGTCTGGGGAGCGTTCTCGGCGCAGGGTGCCCCGACGATGCGCCCAGCCCGTGGAGAGCAGGGCATGTGGGCCGCAGTCCTCCCCCCAGCCACCGACATCCTGACCTCCTGCCTGGAGCCTCTCGGGGCAGAAGGAGGCTCCCACTGCAGATGGCAGGAGGGAGCAGGTTTTAGGGAGGGGTAATCTCTATCAAGAGCCCCCAGTGCGCCCATGTTTTACGGGGTGTAAAGATGCTCCAGGGGCACAAAGACCATCTCCCTTCACCCACGGCATCAGCCATCCCCACAGAGGCCACCCTTCCCCCTCACCCCACTGTGTCTATCCCCTGACATTCTCTCCACTCGCCCACCACGTCCCCCTGTGGCCAGCAACGTTGTGGCCAAGACTGCTGCTCGTCCCCCAAGGCCTGCTCAGCGATCCACACCCCAAGTCACCCAGACACACAACCACCTGAAAGAAGGCGGACATTTCCCAGACCCCCTGGAGCTGGGTGCGGCCATGTGACTAGGTTCTAGCCAATGGGACTGTGGTGGGCAGAATGATGCCCCCCAGGTGTCCCAGTCCTGACCTCTGGCACCTGGGACTCTGTGACCTGACAGGGGAAAGGGGACTGAGGCTGGGATTGGATGAAGGATCTGGAGACGGAGTGCTTCTCCTGGATTTTCCAGGTGGCCACAGTGTCATCACAAGGATCCTTCCGAGAGGGAGGTGGGGGCAGAGTCAGAGAAGGAGATGTGACAAAGAAGCAGAGGTCAGAGTCGCCCCCTCCCCCAGGTCAGCCTGAGCAGACTCTCCCGGAGGCCACAGGCCACCTGACTGTCCCTCAGCCACGGTGTCCTCAAGGGAAAACCAAGCTTCTGCTGTAGACGGAAAACCCCTGACAGTGGTGAAAACAGTAGAAAACACTCAAGGAAACTGTCAAAGAGAAAATATATAGAAGTTTAATGTTTCACATATAACTTTAAAAAAAGATACGAAATAATACCAGTACAAAATATAGCAAATAACATATTTGTACAAAATCCAGTAAGAAAACATAATTTTATCAGTTAAGATGATTCATAAAATACACTTTGCTAAAAGGAAATCAAAGCGCTGCAGACAGTGACAGTCCCCTGCGTGAAACGGGCTCGTGCACCCGTGGCTGCCTTCCCGCCTGAGGACGGTTGGTGCCGCAGCAGCTTGACTGCACTCAGGCACCGCAAACGGTCGGGGGCACGGTGATCCCGTCCTGCCTCGGCCAAGTTCACGGGTCAGCGGGCAGGTGAGCTGAGGGGAGAAGGGTCGACAGCCGCAGGGGGCCTCGCGGGGCCGGGCGCCCCTACTGATACACGACCTTCACGCAGAACGTCTCCTCGTTCTTGTCTTCGTGGTCGTTGATGTAAATCAGAACCTCCTCCTCCCCGGCTCTCTGACTGGGCGCAAACCGCAGGCCGATCGTGTAGGTCTCTCCTCCTGCAACCTGGAAACAAGCATCAACATCCTAGCAACCCCCGGGCGCTCATCTGTCTTCCAGAAACTTGTATGTACGCACACCTGTATTTTGGCAGCACAGCGGATCACGTGGCTGAGACTTTACTCCCAAGCTCCGGCCTTCAGCGCCGGGGAGGGCAGCCTGGCAGCGCCGAGCCTTGCAGACTCCAGCACACTCATGTTCTGGACTGAACCTCCTGTGTCACTGTGAAACCCGACATGCTACGCCCCACGCCCTCGGGGGACGCTTCCCAACCGAAGACACCCCCACTGACCAACGGTCTGCGCCTGCTGCACCTCCCTAAAACATTCACCGAGGACGCAGGGCAAACGTCCCGGACAGTTCTGGGTAAAACTATCGAGAAACCACGGACGGTGGGTCACCAGCCGCCCCATAACCGTGCCTAGAACCCAGAGCGGAGGCGCGACGCTCGCCCCCCTGGACTTCTTGACGGAACTGCTCCTAACTGCCTGTTGACCCCACCTCCGGTGCCACGCCTCGAGGCCGCGCCCCGTGCCCAGGCGCGCACAGCACCGGCCCGCACCTGGAAGGAGTCCTCCTTGAACTGCAGCAGCTCAGGGTGGTCGCTGTGCAGGTGGTAGGTCCTGCGGGAGGGGTAGGGGTTGGTGTAGGTGATCCGCTTGTTGGCGCCCTTCCCATCCCCGGCAGCCAGCGTGATCTCAAAGGCCTGTGGGGGGAGGGGAGGGCAGGACTCGGCTGTGGGCTCCTTCTCCCGGCACTTCCGGAGCCTGCTCTGCACTGGGGCCCCCAGACACTGGACATCTCCGGAAATATGACAGACGAGCCCTCTGAGCTCCCAACTGAGGGGGCTCACAGGACAGAGGGAACCCCCCACCCAATCCCAGAGCCACAGAGGATGGAGGAGGAAACGCCAGCCTGAATCCAGGCAGGCCTGGGTCATGGGACCAGGTGACACACCCGTACCATGTGGCCTGCGCACACCACCCCTCCAGACCTTAGAAATAAGCGGCGTGCGGCAGGAGAGGCAGACGAGCCACGAGGCCACCAGCTGGTGGTAGTCCACGTCGACCAGGTTGAGGTGGACGAACCGGCTGCCCGCCCGGCAGGGCCTCACACTCACGTGCAGGTCCTGCACCCCATGAGGTGGCAGCACGAAGACACCTTTGGGATCCGTCTTCAAGGACAACAGAAAGAAGCAGGTTGGGACACAGCCTCTTACACGGTGCACACGAGGGGCTTCCTGGGCACCTGCAGCCCAGTGGACCGAGAGAATCCTAAGGGCTCCCCCGTTGTTTGGGGGTGACAGCCTGTTCTGGGGGGGCCACATGGCCTGCGCGAGGTCAGAGGGGCCCAAGTGAAAATGCAGATCTGACGCCAGACCCCACCTTGCCATCAGTGCCAGCACCACGGCGTGTCACAGTCTGTGCTGGACAAGTCCCCCTCTCACATGGCAACGGTCCCCTAAGTGCCAGAGCTGCCTCAGCAGCGGGCGTTCACCAGGCTCGGAGCCTGGCTCCCTGGCAGGGAGTCTGCATTGCCCTCATTATCCAGACGTCCAATTGTGGCAGCACGAATTCCAGAGTTACTATTAATATTTACCTTCCAATAATTCTAAAAATTGGCCTTCAGAGCTTTATATGTCACTCATCCCATGACGGCATAGCTAATAAAGGCAATCTGAATGAAGACTCTGCCAGAGTATCTTAATCTTGAAGTGCTCGAAGGCTGTCCTTGGGACCAACCCCTGAGCTGCAGCTCAATTTCCAGCATCCTGCCCCACCGCGTCCAGTCCGTCCCAAGGGTGGGGTGAGGACAGAGAGGCCTGAGAACACCTCAGTGACCAACAGCCCCCAGAAAGCCATACCGTCAGCTCCTGGGGGTGCGAAGTGAAAGCTCTCACGTTCCTAACTGCCTGTGTACCCCGAAGGACAAGGGACAGGCGGGTCCGCTGGCCTGTGACACAGGAGACGTCCACGCGCTGCAGGGAGTGGAGGTGGACCTGCCATATCTGGATGGGCGTCGCCAGCCAGCGATCCCTGAACGAGACAGAAGCCACGTGCAGCACTGGTGAGGACAGCGGCACCAACTGTGAGGGAGAAGCCGGGAGCCGGGAGGATGGGGTGCCCAGGAAGCAGGCCTGGGGCACAGCTGCTGTCACCCTGCACAGCTACCTCCCCCACTAACCAGAGGACTCTCAGGCGGGGCTGTGGCTTATACGTGGCCTTGACTGCACGGGGCCACCTCGGGTGAGTGACAATGTGGGCCTTGGCCAGATATGCAACCTCTGCCAGCTGAAACCCCAAACTCCAAACCGGGTCTGAGGCAAAGCTTGTGGGCTGCACGGGATGGGAGAGAACGTGGGTTTAGATGTGGCACAGGCCTGGGCGCAGAAGCCCCACTTGGGCCGCCCAGTGCCCTCGGACGCCAGCTCTGAGCTGTGCAGTGGGCCAGTGATGCTCCCCAGGGGGTCGTTGCGAGGACTCCACTCTGCCGCGTCCACACAGCCCGTGAGGCGCACTGAAAGCAAGTGTTTGCCCCGCCCTGGGAGGCTGTACAAAATGTGCCAGTTTTCAAGAGTTCAAAGGGCTGGGAGATACGACTTGTGAGGAAAAGGTCAGGGACGGGCGTCACTTCAGCCGGTGAGAGGTGAAGGGGCGGTTTATAGACAGTCTTCAGCGTCAGAGGTAAGACCTCCGTCTCCCCTGGGGGGCCTCTGCTTAGCTGCCCTCAGACTCGATGACAAGGGTGCCCAGTCAGTCCCGGGCACTCGCGAAGGGCAGAAGCTGCCCAAGTTTCTCTCCTCGTAGGCTGGAGCGCGTCCCTCAGGCTGTTGGTGCAGCCTGAGCAGAGGGAGCCCTCTGCAAGGCCCTAGAGTCTCACCTCACCCAGCGAGAGCCCACCTCTCCCACCACGAGTTTACAAAGAACCCACTGACCCCGCAGCCCCCCAGCAGCGCCCTCGCAGGCCCCTGGCCCCCTGGCAGCCCCCCCACAGCCCACAGTAGCCCCCCCACAGGCTGCAGCAGCCCCCGCAGCACCCCCCACGCAGCCCCCCACAGCCCCCCAGCAGCGCCCCCATGCAGCCCCCGGCAGCCCTCCCACAGCCCGCAGCCCACTTCCCCCTCGGCTCCCCCGACCCCAGACGGCAGGGGTTCGCACACTCACGCATAAATGGTGACAAAGAAATCCTTGCTCTCTGGGCTTGGCCCGCTAGCGACCTTCAGGAACACGTCCCGCGGCTCCCCGGGGCCCTGCCAGACAGCGGGGCACGTCATGCAAACACCACCGTCCCCATTTGGCCCCTGGCCCCTAAGTCCACAGAAGCAAAACCAGGCGTGAACCGGGCTCCCTCCCCCTCAACACATTTTTCATTTCCTGTACTACTCAGAACTCCCTATTTTTTTCACTATAAAAGAGAGAAAACCATTAACTTCTTAATTTTATATTAAGTTCAACCGTTAAATTCTGCAGGAGATTTCTCCACTTTCCTAACCAGTCATAATACAATTACGGCCGTTATTCTTTACACAATGGCAATTAATAAGCGCCATAATTACCACTCACTTTACCTCACGCCTCTTTTCAATCTTAATTCAGACAATCAAGGAACTGATCTGCTTGCAGGAAAAATGAAAACTCATTCATAAAGCTCTCACAAGGGTGTCAAAACAGCCCTCTGGCACCTTAGAGAGAAAGCATTTCCCCAGACACACAGCGAAGGGGCAGCCGGAGACACGGGCGCCGACGGCCATGCCCTGCTGGGAAGGTGGCCCGAGGTGGGGCTGAGAGAGCTCACCACATCCTGGGTCTCACAGACGACGTTCGGGTCGCTGCAGCGGACGTGGATTGGGGGGTCCTCGCCGGGCCTGCCCACGGGCGCGCCTGGAGAGAGGAGAGCAAGACAAACGTCTTTGCCGGACAGGCCTGGGCGTCATAGGAGCTTAACAGACGCCCGGCGGGAGGTGATGCCCCTGCCCAGCACACGCCCGCATGGACCCGCGCTCCTGCTCTAGCCGCCTCCTCGGGGATTCAGGCAAAAGGAGAAACGCAAATGCCACAGAGCACGTGCCAGAGGAAAAAGACCTCGTTCTGTTCCAAAGGGCACAGACAGACCATCAGTGAGTCAGCAGGTGGAGGGAGCGAGTGTCCCTGGGCCTAACCCTGGGCTGTGGATGTGAGGAGGGTGGAATCAGCTGGCCAAGGTCACACTTGTCCTCTCAGAGGAGGTTGAGAGGGCAGCCATTTCAAACAATAAAGGCAGGTGGCAGAATTTACAGATGTGTCACATGTTGTTGGAGGAAGAGCATGACAGGGCAATGCCACTTGTCACCCTTGGGGAAAAGCTTTTTCCCATCTGTTGAACCCGCCAGCCTCAGGGTCAGACGGGACCTGCCTGGAAGTGTGTGCCAGGGCGGCAGGCGGATAGCCTTCTTCAGGAAGGTGAGCTCCGGGTGGTAGAAGCGGAAGACCTGGTCCACGACATGGGGCTGGGGCTCCACCGTCAGGCAGAGCACGGCGATGGGCTTGCCGCCGCTCGCCCGGAACAAGACCTGTCGAGAGAGCAGACAGGGCTGGCATCAGAGCCGGCACAACGGCTCGCGGGCAGCCGTGTGTGCGGCGCCTCCTTCCACAGATAGGGACAGGGGTCTCCTGGGGTCCACTCACCCCATGAGGGGGAAGGACAGGCATCATCAGAAGCGGGAACAGACCATTCAGCAGCAGGTGCCCAAATCAAGGGGACGACACCCAACAAAGGGTTCACATGCGGACATGCTCCTCTCACTCGTGTACCACACCTCCTGTGGCTGCTATTTCTTATAAGTAAAGCACATGCCAAGGATGCCAGCGAAGAGGTTTCCAGGCCCAAAGTCAAACGCTACTGCAGCCATAATTCCACCTTCCTACACGCCTGCTGTGTGTGTGCTGGGAAGTCATTCCAGAAGGATCTGGACCAGGTCCTCATGGGTTGTAACAGAGCACATTAGCATGAGCTCTTTGATTCCAGACCATAAAAGGAGGCTGAGCCCAAACCCAAAGGGCTAGAAATAGAAACTTCCTTTTTCAAAAAAAGTTACTAAAAAACTTACTTGTCCAAAAGAGGTCCTAATTTGGACAACTGATAGAACAGGTACCTTTATTCCATGACTCAGTCTGGCCCAGTGAGCTCTGTAGGCCCAGGAATGAGGGGGTACACAGAGCCTGACCTCTGAGACCAGGCAACCTTTCCACCTCGACGCCAAACTCCAGCCACCAGACAAACCTTCCACGTGGGAGGGACATTCCTCTACTTCGGTACGTTTTACTAAGGAATCTTTTACATGTGCATACACGCAGGAACACAGAGGTAAAAATAAGCTGAAGTCACAACTTCAGACAGCCCCCCTGAACTCACGTCCCCGCCTGCAAGGGGCAAGCCGTCGATGCCGCCCAGCTCTCTGTGCCCCCAGCCCCGCCCGCCCCGCCCGAGGAAGTCGCCCTCCTGAACTCTGTGGTCGCTGTCCCTGGCTGTCTTCGCTGTCTTCCCACCTTGGATCTTTGAGCAACACTGTGTTTGGTGTGGCCTTTTTGGAGCTGCACGTGGGAGCTGTTCCAGTGCAGGTCTGTTTCCACACCTGCTGTGTGCTCATCGACCTCGTGTTCCGGCTGGGAGAGAGGCTCCCTCAACCATGGCCCTGTTCCCGTCATCTGGGCCCTGACACGTGTCAGTCAGAATCCCACCGCTCTGCCGAGACTCCGATTCTAAAATGACCGTTCATTTAGCTGTTGTGCCCGTTATGAACAGGGCTCTATCCCACGCCCGCCCTGCACTGCTCTCAGGACGGGGCCCCTGCAGACCACGTTTCTCTCCACCAGCCGCTCCTGGAAGCTCTGACCACAGGGCAAGGGCAGGCTCAGGCATGAAGCGGGGCCGTCCCGCCTGTCTGCTGCCCTCCTGTCGGCCACCCCGGCAGCCCGGCCTTGTCCCAGCAGCTGCAGCTCCTCCCACGGCAGGACGTGGATCCACATGTCAGCACCGCAGACCCAGCCTCACGGCTCCCCAGCAGGACGCTGCCAGCGGCCATTGCCCCTCCTCGGAGGCCTGGGTCATTACTTCCAGCTTCGTCCCTTTGTTCCTGGCACTAAGAGTGGCAGATAGCTGCTTCCTGCCGTCTCTACCTCCTTGAAACAAAGTTCTGGTTTCACTCTTCCAGTGGCCTGGTTAACAACGTTATACCTAGTTGTAATGCTTCATCCTAAGTTCTCTCTGTTAAAAAACCTGTGTTGGGGACAGCCCGGTGGTGCAGCGGTTAAGTTCACACTCTGCTTTGGCAGCCCAGAGTTTGCAGGTTCGGATCTCGGGCGGGAACCTATGCACCCCTCATCAAGCCATGCTGTGGCGGTGTCCCACACAAAAAACAGAGGAAGGCAGGCACAGATGTTAGCTCAGGGACAACCTTCCTCAGCAAAAACAAAAGCTGCATGGTCTCTGCCTCCTCAGCGCCCTGATCAGCCGTCTTCCCGGGGCTACTCAGCGGGGGCTGGAGGAAGGACAGGCTGCAGCCAGCCCACTGTGGTTACAAAACACACTTCTTTCTCTATAGTGCACTGACTTAAAATGAGTCATCAGATTAAAGAAAAAAGAGTCTTACAGACGCAAGTGTCCAAAGTCCTGATGACTGCCCACCGCCCCCTGCTCTATTTTCTCCACAGCACGACCACCACCCACGTCACATTTCCTGTATTGCCACGGTTGGTCCCCCACAGGACGGAAGCTGTGAGGGTGGCCATTTGGCTGCCTGTTTCCTGTGGCCGAGGGTCCAGGAAGCTGAGTGGGCAGCAGGACGTGAGGACCCAGGAAAGCCGTCTGGACCAGAAACCCAAGGAACCTGTGAGCTGGGAAACCCACTGGGCTGAACCTTTTTCCAAAACTGAGAGCGGCACAGTGGCAACACCCATGGAGATCCTGCCTTTGGAGAATCTGCAAATAAAACTGGAAGACTCAGGCCCAACTTTTATATCCTCTCCAGTTTTTAGGACGCTTAGAAGTTCTACAAGAGTTGGCAACATTTGTACAGGTGAGTAAAAGCTTTAAAAATGGTCAATCAGTGAAAAGTTAGCCAGCCCCTTGGGAGAGGCATTTAGCAAAATTGTATGTGTATAAGCTATTTGTTGCCACACTGTTTGTAACAGGAAAAGGTGAGAACTCAAAAGTCCAGCAACAGGGCACTGGTCGATAAGCGACGACGTCCACACGTGGACCCTGATCTGAGAGTGAACGAGGATGAGGAAGTGGTCTCAGGACCACACTCGTGCCCTGCACTTGCACACATGTGCATACACACACACACAACACAGGACAGAATGGGGGGTGGCAGCAAAGGAAGCAGGATCTTCCTGAATATATCCAATTTTACAGTTTGATTTTGGACTTATGTAAATGCTTTTAGTTAGTTAAAAAACTAAGATCAAAAAGGAAAATGAGGGGTCGGCCTTGTGGTGTGGTGGTTAAGTTCACACGCTCCGCTTCGGCAGCCTGGGGTTAACTGGTTCGGATCCTGGGCACAGACCTACACACCCCTCACCAAGCCATGCTGTGGCGGCATCCCACACAGAAGAACGAGAAGGACTTACCACTAGGATATACAACTATGTACTGGGGATTTGGGGAGGGGAAAAAAGAGGAAGATTGACAACAGATGTTAGCTCAGGGCCATTCTTCCTCAAAAAAAGTGTCTTTAAAAAAAAAAGAAAGAAAAACGAATGAAAGATCTCTATATATTGAACAAACTGAAACAATCAAATAAGCAAATCTAGCTGTGTATCAAGTTGGTGATGCAACTACTCAGGGCAAAAGGATTTGACCAGTGTGGTTGGCAGCTGGTTGCCTACAGGGGAGCTGAGCAACTGGTAAAGAGACTGAAGATAGCACAAGCCAGGTTCCTCACTCACAGAAATGGGAATTACAAACATGGGACAGGGCAACTGGAACAAACCCTGCGAGGCTGCTCTGGCGCTGGAAGCACGGGTGTGAATTCACGGCCTTCAAAATGTATGGAAAGGTGCAGACGTTTGTGCACAGACATATGTACACACAGACACACACTCTTTAGTGCTCTCTGCTAAGAGGGACGAGAAGCCCAACCCCCAGACTTTGGTTTCTAAATACCATCCTCCACTAAAAGGAACCTTAGATAACGGCTGATTCCAGAAATGGAGCAGGGAAAGCACAAGATGACTCTGGAACACCTTATTTGCCATGCAGTAAGGAAGTGCTCAAAGAATGACAGGGCCATGTCAAAAGGACACAGGAGCCAGCTTGAGCGGCTGCCTCTGGTGAGTCAGGGACAATATGAGCAGCAAAGCAAATGGTGACAGTAAAAAATCATAACCCATTGAAAAAAAAGAATTCACGGTCCAGAAGGGTACAAAAAATAAATAAATGAATGGGATGAAGCTAAAGCTCTACCTTACTTAGAATGCCAACTAATGCGTGTAGAAGGAATGATGGAATGTGAAAACAGCCGACAGGCAACCACCACGCTGACTCACTCCGGCAAGAACCGCCAGGGGACAGCAAACCTAGAGGGCAAGCGTTTGATGGGCAGGGCATTTACATCATCTAAGAGTATCTCCTGACAAAATACTTATTCATTACTTTCTAATTATCAGCTATAAAATACTCCTTAATTAACTTTATGGTGAAGAAGCCTGGGAGACACCATCCTAACGAATTAAAAAAGCTAACATCACTGGCAACAGAACAAATCAACATCGCACCCCTCCCAATAAGAGGTTCTGAGAAGAACACAGCAAAACATCCGTGCTATTCCTGCCCTACAGGCCTAACCTGAACCTGATCATGAGCAACTCAGACAAACCCCAACTGACGGACACCGTGCAAGGTAACTTGGCTTTACACATCCAAAGACCAAGGCTGTGAGAGGCAAGGAAAGCTCGGGGCTGGGGGGGGTGGGGGGGGGGGTGGTCCCAGACTACAGAGAGGAGCACCAAACACCGCGTGAAGCTGGCAGGTAGGTCAGTGATCCAAGACCGGGATATCTGGTCAGGTGCAGACGGGGTCTGTGACGAGACCTATCGGTGTCCAGGTCCTGATTTTCATGACTCTGCTGTGGTTATGCAAAAGAGTGTCCTGATTTTCAGGACACACAAGCTCTAAGTTTCATGGAGCAATGGGGCATTATGTCGATAACTTGTTCTCAAATTGTTCAGACAAAAAATGGGTAAACACAGACAGAGTGATGAGGCAAAGCTAAGGCATCAACGGTGGGCAGATCTGGGGAGATAATATATGGGAGTTCTTGCCCTATTCTTGTAACTTTTCTGTAAGTTTGAGATGACTGCAAAATAAAAAGCTAAAAAGAAAAAGGCCCAGGAGCTAACTTGAAAGGGATGGCAGTGGCCAGAAAGAGGGGGCAGTTACATCATCCAACACCTGCCGTGGACAATAGAGCAAATACAAAATTGCGAGTTCATAACAAGACTCCAAAACACTGACCGTCTCTGAAGGTCACTAGGCCACAACTCAATATTTGAAAACCTGATAACAGAAAGGGAAAAAAATCCAAGACTATCCTGACTTTCTGGTATAAAGTATATTTCAGAGTAACCAAACTGCTGCTGGGCAGGGTTCTTGTTCATAGAAGGATCGCAGCTAATAAGTCGAGGAAGAAAGGGGGGAGCAGAACTGCACTGCTTCCTCCCTGATGGAATAAGGAGTGAGGGCAACACATACCGCCACCGTGGACCACCAGCCACTGCAGCCTCTGCCCGGGACGTGGTGGTCAGCCTATGCGCAGCGACCCCAGCGACAGAGCCCCAAGGACAGCGGGCCCTGACCCCAACAAACCAACTGTGAAAAGACGAGTGGGCGTGGCCTGGACCTCAGGTGACGCTGAGATTTGCTGCTAATCTGGGGCAGTGACAATGGCACGCGCTGGTTAAAGAAAGGCCGCATCGGTTAGACACACACTGCAGTAATCATGGGTAAACTCAAAAGAATTCTGGGGTTCGCCTTCAAACTCCAGTCATGTAAGGAAAATTGTATTAGCTCTTGGATTCGATCTATAGCCCTACATAAAGAGCTGACCCCTTCCTTAGACAGAGGCAAAGCTGTGGCCCCATGTTTAAACAAAATCAAGCAAATTTTCACTGGTGATGGGGCCATGGGCACAGGGCTGCCACCTGGAGAGACTCTGCAGTCGGGAGCCAGTTCCTCATCTGGGGCTGCACCGAAATCTGTTCTCGGTGGCAGGGGCAGGAGGCGAAGGTCTTGTTGTTTTTGTTTTTACTTTCAACCTACTAAAGAAGGCATATGTCTACAAAAAAGCTTCAGAAATTCCTATCACCTGACAGTGTCCCAAGCTCCTCCCGAGGACAGTCGATGGCAGGCAGGCTGTGGGTCAGTCCACCTTGCAAGCTTGCCGTCCCCTAGAGCGTTCGTGAGGATTAGGTCTCACTTCCAGGAAGTAACCTCCACGCGTCACACTGATTTCACATGACACGGGAATGCCGTGGAGCAGGGTCGGAAGAGCGAGGCTAACTGAGCGTGGTGGCCTCGTGCTGTGACAGCTGGCCTCGCACCCAGAGCGCCCAAGGACTGCACAGCAGAGAGTTGCCAAGGAGATGTTTCCACACCAGACACCCACTCAGCGGGCCTACCAGCATCTGGCTGAAGCTGTCACTGCCCTGTTAGGACATGAAAAGCTCACCTCCAAGGGCCCCGCCCCCACCCCTCCCGTCCAGGAGGCCCAGGCCCCAGAGGCGCAGGAACAGAGGAGCTCATGAACACTTCACTCCGTCTGCTCAGAGGACACGGCTCATGATGCAAGACCTCAGGAACATCCGGGCCCCAACGTCTGTTGTCTTCTGCCCCCTTACCTTGGCATGTTTAGTGGGCATCGTGCTGGACTTCAAAGGCGATTCAGCATCTGCGCCCTTCTCAGACCTCAGCTCAGCAGACACCTGTGAGAAACCAATCAGCACAGCAGGTCACAAGATGCAGTCCTTGGGGACAGGCACTTCCTTCTCCTGGAGGAACAGCTGCCACCCTGGGCCAGGGCTCCCGCGTCTCATCTACTCTCACAGGAACCCTCGGGGCGGCTACGGTTATTTACCAGCCTCAGTGCCCCACAGAGGAAGCAGAAGCTGCAGTCAGCCGTGAAGGGCGGACCGACAGGGGAACCCAGCTGTGCCTGAAGCCAAAGGCCCACCATCCTCACCACATCCTTTCCACCTCTCATCCCAAAAGCTCATCCAAAGATGCGCATGGAAATCTGTGAGCCTCTAGGAATCCCTCAGGCCCGTTTAAGGGATGCTCAGTACCCCTAGGACTGACCTCAAAAGGTCAAATAAATGAACACACACCCTGCACCCTGCCCCATCACACACGCCACACACATACAACCCACACCCCTGCACCCTCCCCCATCACACACGCCACACACGCACAACCCACACACCCTGCACCCTCCCCCATCACACATGCCACACACACACAACCCACACACCCTACACCCTCCCCCATCACACATGCCACACACACACAACCCACATACCCTGCACCCTCCCCCATCACACATGCCACACACCCACAACCCACACGCACAACCCACACACCCTGCACCCTCCCCCATCACACACGCCACACACACACAACCCACACCCCCACACCCTCCCCCATCACACATGCCACACACATACAACCCACACGCACAATCCACACACCCTGCACCCTCCCCCATCACACATGCCACACACGCACAACCCACACACCCTACACCCTCCCCCATCACACGTCACACACACACAACCCACACGCACAACCCACACACCCTGCACCCTCCCCCATCACACACGCCACACACGCACAACCCACATCCCTTACACGACATCTCGGTCTCTGCGTTGACGCAGAGGAGCGGACACTCCAGGAAGAGGTGGACGAACAGCATTAACCAGGGAGTATGACATGCTGGGAAGTTTCAACCCGTTACCTCTTCTGAGGTTTAAGAAAGGTTCTTTCACCAGTTTAGCAAAGAGAGCTCAGAGGGATGGTCTAGCCTTTCCCGAGGCCCACCACTTAGGCAGGAAAAGTGAAGCGCCTGGGGCTGCCGCACGCAGCACAGGTGCCAGAGCGCATGGGAGGAACAGGGGGAGCAGGCAATGGCCAAAGGCTAACCGCCTACAACAGCACGGGACGGACACGGGCAAACGGTTAGAGGGCTCCCAATTTCCCAACAGTAGCTAGCCAAATGGGATCTCCCCGTATGCCTGCTGACAAGCCCATCTGGCGTTGGAATGGCCTTCCCCACCTGCGAGGAGGCTGGCTGGCCCACGGAAAAGGTCTGGTATTTGAAGGGGATGTGGGCGGTCTCCCTGGGGCGCAGGAAGAGCTGGGGGGCGAGGCCACCCTGCAGGTGGAACATGTCCTCCTCCACCGGCGTGTGCAGGTTGGCGGCCTCTTTGAAGTATCTCCACTCCTGACTGTCCAGGATGAGGCTGGAGTGGGGGGAGACACGATGCTGAGGAAAAGCTCCTCCTGCTAAGTACCCTGCAGGGACATGCCCCCCACCCACTCAGAGCTGGCTGTCCACAGAGGACGTGGGCGAAAGCCAGAATCAGCAGGACCCACAAAGGACGAAATCAGCTTAGCTTTCAGGCAGAGCTCAGAGTCGCCCCACCTGACCCCGCTGCGACTGCGGGCTGAGGAGCGGCCGCCTCGTGCTCCCACCTGAGCTCAGGGTTGTCCATCTCGATGGTCACTGTGTGCTGCATGTTGTGGGGGTTCCTAAGAGCAAACTCGAAGAACTCGGCAGTGCCCAGCGTAGCATAGAGCGTGTGCCATGTGGTGATAGACAGGCTCAGCGCGCTGGTGATGCTCTCGGCCTTCGTGCGCTCCCGGTAGGCGGCGATGACCTGCAGGTCGCGCATGTGCTGTGCACGGACGCTCTGCTGAGCCTGCGGGACATAAGGGCCTGACCCAAAGCCACAGTCCTGGGGTACACACTCCTTCTCGAGGGCTGTTTTCTAGCTACCTTCCCCCTACCTCCCCAAACACCAAATTTCTTCCGGAATCAGCACCACCCCCTTCCTCAGCTCGTGGGTTGGGTGGAACTGGACCACCTCCAGCTGCAGACAGAGAACGGGGCACGCCTGTCCCTCCCCGCGCAGGACCACGGGAGCACTCCTGGCTTCTCTCTGTGCCACAGGTCATCTATCCAGGTGGAGCCAGGGTCTGCTTTGCATGCTCCCAAGAGACTATAACCACCAACTACCAGAAACTCTCCCCACAGCCGTAAGGCTGGTACCTGGGCACAGTGGGGAACTAAAAACAGAGGTTTCAAATAAAAGAGAAAAGAATGGCCTCAAAACTAAGACAGACGACCTGGTCACTGGCCAGGTCCCCAGTGTGGCAGCAGGAATCCTGTCTGCGAGCAGAGTCCGGGGAGGGGATGCGTCCGGACCTAACTGATCTCAGGCTGGGTCAGGGTCCAGCCAAGTGACACGCAGCCTTGGTAGGGCTCAGCCATGAGTCCTCTGTCCATCTCCTTCTTCAGATGCCCCGAGATTCAATGGGCGTGGCCACCTGGATGTGTTCTCGAGGCTGGAGATTGGCTTATTTTTCTTGTGTGCCTTATATCAAACAGAGAGGTCCACTGGAGGCTGCTTTGCAAGATCTAAAACCCAGAAGGGGCCACCACCATGCAGGGGAGTCAGCCAGGCCCAGCTTTGAGGACCTTCAAGCACTGAGGAGGCCCAGACATCAGAAGGCAGGGGCCGACTGAATGGCTTTGGACTTGAACTCAAAAGGTAAGGACTAAATTTGATTTCTGACTTAAATTCCTTTGGATATTGACTTTCCAGTACCCCAAACCATGACCTTTCCCTAGCAAGGGGATTGAAGCTGAGCCTTTAATTTCCCCGTGGGAATCTGAAAATGGGAGGGTGGTCATGCTCACATCTGAGGCCTCCCTATGTGGGCATTTTATAATTAGAGCCTCTCAATGGAGTGGAACCTCTGACGGACTGCGCTGGACATGGCCAGACGTAATTTAAGATAAGAAACAGAACAGAGAGTGGCTTTTCAACCTTGCGTTGAGACAGGGCATAGTTCTGACCCGCCCCCCCACGTTGAGAGGACAGAATCTATACTGCTCACCAGCACAGCAGCCCCAGGACAATACACTGAGGGCTCTAGGACAGAGGCCACGTGAAAATGGACCCAAGACTGGCCCGTTAGATTGACTGCAGGGGGCGGGCCACGGTGACAGCCACTCCTAGGTTTACCATAAACCAGACGGTTCAAAGCAACGAGTAGAGACAGCGTGACCCTGGGTCATGAGAAGGATGACCCCTGGCCATCTCCCTCCACACCCCAGAGGAAGCTGTGAGCCTGACACCCCTGGCCTCCCTCCCCCCAACGCCGTCCACCCCATAGTAGATGGGAGACTTATCTGATAGAAAGTTCGAGAGCATGAACCAGGCAGGCATAGCCCTGCCCTCCCTCTCCTCTTCCTTTTGGGATCCACCTGCCTGAAGACACCATCAGGCGCTCACATTGCTCTCGGCCAGGTGGTAAGGTGTGTAAGAAGGACCCCACTGGTGGAGCCGCCTGCCGCTGTCTGGCATCATCCTGACTGGGTGACTGTCAGCAAGTCCAGGCTCGGTACTAGGAACACCCTGCCTACAGATCCAAGCCAATTCTCCAGTGTGAGCTTTGCCAATAACGAGAGTCATCAGTAAAGCAGATGTGATATTTTGGTCTCTCTCTGCCACACTCCTGTCTTATTTCCTAATCAAGCCAGAACCCAGGCAGACAAGGCCGATGGCACTTACTGGATCTCTGAGACCCCACCAGGCAGCCAATCCCACTGCAGGCCCAGGAACCGCTTCAAGGATGAGCACGCCACCCATTCAGAGCAGGGAGACCCATCAGCCTTTGCTGGAAGTTCTGGAAAGTAAAGCTCTCTCTTCCGAGGCACCCGGAATGGGATGACAACATGGAACACGGGACTAGTGCCACCAATCTGCTACCCTGAGGGGGGATCCTGGGTGGCACGTCACTTTAGGTTGCACACAGAAGGCAGAGGGGAGAGGTGCAGGGCTGGTCCCTGGTGATACCGCCTGAGCTACAGATGCAGCCGCAAGTCAGCACTGCCTGGGACTATACTGTCACTGCGGCCACAGACTGAATGGTCACCCGATCAGTGCCAGGCTCGGGGCCTTGGGACATCACTCAAATGCAGGCTGGCTGGCCTGGAATGCAGGCTGAGGGCCCTGGGACACGGCTGCTGCACGGACAGGTATGTGCGGGCATTAACCCAGTCCCAACCACATAGGAAGATAACCTGCCAGCCCTTCTGCCCAGGCCCAGGTCCACAGAGAAGGTGCTCAGAACAAGGCCTTTCCGTTGCCTAGGGCTTCACCCCTGCACAGTGGCTGATGCTGACCGACAGCAGTCACTGGGGCCAGCCACTGTCCTGGGCACTGGACCCATTAACCCAAGTGACCCTCTCGAGGAGGCCTGTGACTGTCCCAAGACACAGGGAGGACTCCAATGCAGGCATCTGGCCCACACTCTGTGCTCCTGGCCCTCAAGCCAGACCAGCTCCCCCAAGAAGCCCAAGACACTCAGCCTCCCTCGAGTCTCTCACTGTTGGAAACAGAGAGCTGCACACCGGGCTGTTCTTTCCTCCCAAGGCATGATCTCAGTGCCTGGGACTTCACCACGATCCACAAAAGGGTCCAAGGATTGGCCCTCAGCCTAACAGCTGCTCTGGTTTCAACTCTCTTCCAAAGGACTTGCTGACTTCACAGCATGCTCATCCCTTCCTCAAAAGAAGGTTGTGAAAGCTCTAGAAGGGATAGAAACTACTTCACATTTGATAAATCAAGTTACTTTCACCTCAAAATTCTCCAGGGCTACAAACCCAGGAAATCATTAGAATTTAGTGGAAATTATCTGTGCATTGAGAAATCCAGTTCTTCCAAAGGCACGGCTGTGTTCAAAATGAGGGTTCTAAGCTGCCGATTTCTCTATCAGAGCACATCAAATAAGAGAAAAACTAGCAAACTAATCATAGTAACAACATTAACACCACCACTGGCAGCTGTCCCTGAGGACAAGCCGTGTGCCAGGCCACCGCTCTGAAGCAGAGACACGGGCGTCCACAGGTGCCGCTGCCCGGCTGAGGCAGGTGAGGGGCCCCACTCCGAGGCTGCGCTGCCAGGAGGGAGGGAAGTGGCCGCAGTGCACCGCAGCCGGGGAGGAGGCCCATCTGATGCCAGCCCCACCAGCTGGCCCCACTTTGGTTCACTGTCACAGCAAAGACTCTGCCCCACTCTGCCACCACCCCACTCGTCCTGCTGGCTCAGTCTGTGCCTCTACCCGTGTCCTCTCTCGTGTCCTCTCACTGTGCTCTACTCCTCTCCTAGTTGGACTGAAGAGTCTTTCGCTTGTTGACTTCTCTCGCCTCCCTCCCTACAGTCCACCTGAGGGTGAGAGCCCTTCCTATCGGTGTGACACACCAGGGGCCACACACAGTCAGGTGGAGTGGGGAGCTGCTGACTGTGTTTACTTAGCCCTGGAGAAGGGATGTCGTCTATTCAGACACCTGCCGGCCTTAATGTAAAGGGCCATCTCAGAAGATCTTTCTCAAGGCCCCTGCGGCTTCTTTATTCTATAAACTCATAAGGTACAACTACTCTCTCCTCCCATTTCTTAGTTGCAAAATATTACAGGGTCTTATTTAGATTTTTAGTTAAAGAGGGAATTTTTGGTCAGAATGATTACTTGACACCCCATGACATAGAAGTCATTCACAGCTCTGCTCCTCAAACCTGGGGAGAGATCAGAATTCCCTGCAGAGCCTTCTTAAAAACCCAGACTCCAGGGACCCTGCCAAACTGACTAGAAACAGAATCTCCACGGGTGGAGCCCAAGTCGGCTTTTACCAAAAGATCCCCAGGTAATTCTGACTTGAAAACTTCCCTTGGTGGCTGAAAAGTTACGTTCTCTTACATTCTGCAGGTAGAATTCGGGAGGAAGAGAGAGAACCACGCAGGAGGAGAGGAGAGACAGGGCACAAGGCGCCTTTGTTCCCAGTGACTCCTGGTCCCACAGAAATGTCCCCAGGAAAGCACGCTCTGGACAAAGCCCTCACCGCCACGCTGGTCCTCGGGCCACCGAGCTCTGCTCCGGACTCCTGTAGGCGCACGGACCTCATCCGCTCCAGCTTGCGCCTGCGGACGGCGTCCCCCTCGCGGCCAGCACCCCGGGGCCCCTTGTGCCCCTGCTGAGTGTGGGTGAACAGCAGGGCGGCCAGCTCACTGTCCACGTCAGCCAGCTTCTGCGCTTGGACCACATTTTTCACCGCTGGGAGGTTCAAAGAGGGAACGAGAGGTTAGAGGGTAGAGTTTACGTTCATCAACAGACCCAGCAACAACCTCCCGAACCACGGTATCCAGCGAGGGAACTCAGTGCATGCCCGCTCTCTTCTGCATATTCTAGGATGTTGATGAAGACAGTAATTATATAACCCGGTCTCCACTGCGGCCCTCCTTTTACCAGCCTCTCAAATAAAAGGAATTCTGATCTTGGCCCCTAGACACAAATTTACTAATATACCACTAGCTGATTTTGCAGGGAAGAAAAAGGTCAGCGCTCCAGAAGGTCAGCTCAAGCTCTCAGATTCTCAAGGGCCCGCTGACACCCTCACCCAGGACTGCCAGCCCCTGCACACAGGCAGCCCCTCCAGTGAGCACCTCCCAACGCCCAGCACCACTCCGAGCTCTCAGTCACAGTGTCCCGCTGGGTCCTCAAACCGGGTCTGGGTGGGAATGACATGAGTCCTGAGCTCAGATAAGGAATCCGGGGCTCTGATGAGTTGCACCCCCTGGCCTGAGGCCCCCGGCTGGTCAGGCCAGGCTTGGCTTCCAAGCTCACGCCCTCCACTCTGTGCCCTGCTGCCTCTGGATGGCCTGGCCCCCCAGGGCACCGTCTCCTTCAGGGGGCTCTACTCAAACCCTGGATACACAGGAAAGCCGAGCATCAGACAAACAGAAGCCAAAATAAGCCAGACACCGGCAGGTAGAAGAGTTACATTTTCTTTTTTCCGTCAGTGACTATGCTGGTGACAAAGCCACACATGGCACACGCCATGTCACAAGGTGACATGAGATTCCTGGACATTCACTCAACTCAGCACAGGTAGGCAGGTGAAAGAGAACACCCCAACATAGCCCTGGGGCCCTTCCTGACTCCCAGCACCACCAGAAGCCACAGGAAATAAACCCCTCCTGGTCCCCACTCCCTGTCATCACACATCTCCAGCCTCCTACTGAAGCCCTCCACGCAATGGGAAAGCGATTTTCTCCCCTACTTGCCCACCCCTTCCTCCGTCACCAGTAAACAAGTCTACTTCCAGGTTCCTTACCACCACTCTATTTTAAAGCCATTTAATTGCTTTTCAGATGCCACGTGATGGCTTAGATGTCTTATGGCCCCAGGAGCATCACATCCCTGGGACACGGCATGCAGGGAGGGGAGATCCAGCCTGGACTGGGTTCCAGTGGTCCGAGGCCCACAGCCCTGAGCGGAGGGACGAGGGCAGGAGACCAGCAAGGCCGGGGTTAATCAACGAGCTCACATGTTGAGAGTGCATCACACTACAGGAGCCTCTCCCTGTCCCAGTGAAACCAGAAGTGAAGTTCCAGAGTGACCGTGCAGGCGGCCTGCAAGCCAGGGGGCACTTTTAAAAATTCTGCACAACCTCCTCCTTCCAGAGCCTTGCCCAGTGGGACAGACGTGGGCTCCCTGATAGAGGCCGCGTCCTCTGATTTCGATCAGAACAGAGACTGGAGAACTGATGACTCTAGAGGCTCTCAACGCTCTCAACCAACCCTCACGGCTCACAACTCCCTGCACCGCCCAGGGGAGCCCCCGACCTGCTGGGCCCGGGGCCGTGGATTTCACCAATATTCTCAGCCTCTGTTCCTGGAGTGTGGGAACTCCTCACTCCACGGTACCTGCTCTCCATCCATTCTCCTGGGGGCCAGAGGGACCCGCTGGGGATGGAGAAGCAGTGGCCCCAGAGCAGGAAATCCAGATTCTAGTCCAAGTTCAACACCCTTAACCACAACGACCAGCCAAGTCATCTGAGCTCTCTTTGCCTTGGATGCTTCAACATTAAAATGAGGAAGCTGGCCCAGAGCAGACCCTCCGCCTGCCTGGATCATGGACCCCTCTGATCATCTGAACCTACAGGGCCCCCTCTCCCTAGAATGTATGAGGACCCACAAAGTTTTGGCTGGAGTTTCAGGGCACTCGTGGGATCCTGGAGGCCTTCCAAGATGGAACCAGAGGCCCCCCCAGTCCTAACCAGCCACAGCTCTGGGACTCCCTCCTGGAGCAGAGGTTCAAGGCCAACAAAGTGAGAGGACGGTCAACACTCGGTTCACGTAAGATGACCTGCAGCACTGGGGGATGCTACTTAAAGAGCAGCTCTCACTTCTCAGTCCAACAAGTATCTGATATTCAGCTCTGTGGGTCATTTTAAAGGGATAGAAAAACTTCAGAACTTCCCTGCTGTGAAAAATATTTTCACCAAGCCCAGGTCTTTACTTCCCAAGCTTTGCAATTGGCTACTCTTCCTCTTCTCAACATGGTGAGTTTCAAATTAGTTTTTGTAAGTCAGTCTATATTCATCCTTACCTTTTCTTCATTTCCTCTTCCCCTGCAGATGAGCAGCTAACCAAAAACAAACGCTACTCATAGGAGTATAGTTTCTCTACGAAATAACACAGGCAGCTTCACAAGCCCCGTCAAGGGAGAGATGGGTTTGATGAACACGGTCAGTCGACATGGCCTGGAGGTCCACTGAGGCAGGGCACTGACAGCCACCGCTCTGCCCCCAGATGCAAAGGGGTGTGGATACCAGCACACAGGCTCACACGTGCACGTGTGCACACACTCAGGCACACCCACACACATACACACAGCCTTCTGCTCCTCGCTCCACCCCTCCCCTACGCCAGTCCCGCACACGTACCACCCGCCACCCTCAGGTCCAACGCTCTCTCCACTCACGTCTTGGGCCCCCACGCATGAGGAGGCTGCCTCCCTCGAAACGGCTGGCTCCGTCATTGGAGATGACCCGGGACCTGGAAGGTGGCAGCAAGCTGCAATCTCTCACTCTCTGTTCACACAAGCGACCTAAATTTAAAACACCCGGCATAAGATATTGATACCAAAAAGAGTCTGATGAAATGCATCAGCACACCCTCTAAGGAGTTCCGGCTTTCAAATGGCCCATCCACACCCCCTGACCTGCTAAGATCCCCAATTCCACTCTTGGTTCTGAATTTGTTTTGAAATTGAGAGAGGATGGGAGGAGCTTGTTTTTCTCTGAACTCTTCCTTCTCTATGTTCCTATTCTCTTCCATCTGAGCATCTCTGCTTTCCCACGATGAATTAAAAACAAAAGCTCGGACGCTCAGAGTGTGCTTGCACATGGACTCTCACTTCTCGGTCTCGGGAGCTGCCCCAAGCAGCCCGGTGACGTGCATGGTTCGCAAACTCTAACATCAGCCTTTCGAAAGTCACATTGTTCAAGGCAGTCCTTCGTGCACTTCTGTAAACATCTGACTCCAAAAACACTCGAAGTAAAAGAGCCTCTGCAAACTAGAACCTTCTGGAGCTGTTTTCATCTGGAAGCCTTCGGAGATAGCGACCCTGCTTCAGAGGGAGGGACACGTGCCCAGAAGCCCAGCACAGCATCACACTTCCCTCCAGCTGAACTCGCCAGCATGGGAGAGTCCCAGGGGATGAGACTGTTTGCACGCAGAAACGCTTCTCCCGGGAGGATGGACTCCTGCCCTCGGAACACGCCACCTCTGCGTGGACGTGGCTCCCACCTTCGGGAGGCCACGTGCAGCCAATTAAGTTACGTTCCAAAATGAACCATGCGAGCTCCAAACACAAACCGCTGGTGCTGCTGACGTCCTCGGTTCCAGCAAGACGGTGTTGAACACACGCAGGTGTGGGGTGCCTGGCGGTCTTCCTGGGAGCTGTGAGAAGTAGAACCCCTTCTGGGGGCCCATTTCCCACCTCTCTGCAACCACTCCCTCCCGGCCTCCGCTCTGCCCTGGGGAGGAGGACAGTGACTTCCCTGCTCAGCCCCACCCTCCTCGGCCTGTCTCCAGGTCTACCTGCTGCTCTGGGCCTCACGACAAGCTCTGCGCCTGCAGGAGGCTGCTGTCTTCAAGGGAGGTCAGGTGGTCTCTGTGCTGCTCCACATGAGAGCCACCCCCTCCAGGCCCCAGAAAGTTAGAGAACCCAAAGATGTTGGTGGGACAGCAGACCGTCCCCCAAGACTGGTAGGACAAAAGCCCTGATCTAGGCTGGGAAAGGCGAGATCCAGAAATGACAGACAGACTGAAACCACCTCTGATCAAATCAAGAAGCGATTCACTTGATATGGTCTGAAGGTTGGAGACACAGCCGCGAACAGAGCCTCCCCCCCGAGAACTTCCATTCCCATTTTCAAATCCCTTTGGTCTTGAGTGTTTTCTGGGAATCAGCTCGTGCTGGCCTTCCTCCAGCCTTCCCGCGACGGAGCCTCTCTGGGTTATCTGCTCTGCCGTCCTGCTCACAGCTCAGAAAGCAGCCCTGGCCAACGCTGCCATTTTAGCCGTCTTCCACACCTCCCTCAGGGAGACCACCACGCCAGGGAGCCTCCCTGAGGCAGCTTCCTCAGCTCAGGGAGGGGCAGCATGGGGTCAAGCCACTGGCCCTCAAAGGCTGAGAAACAGTTCTGCAGCCCAGGCTCTGCTGTGGGCATTCACGCCATCATCACTGGACGCCAGACAGCACGGCTGCCTCCTCCCCGGCCAGTGAGCTCCTCACTTCCTCCTTCTGCTGAGGCCAGCGACAACCCATGCCAGGACTCCTCCTAGGCAGCTTCCACGCCAGCCCCGTCCAGCAGGCACGCCCTCTCCTCCTGCTGTTCCTTGCGTGCCACCTCGGTGTCAGTCTCGTGATGTGAAACAGACAGCGGCGGTGACCCCCCCCCACACACACACACACACAGAAGGGCTGCACGCCACCCTGTGAGGTCCTGCTTCTCCTCACCGCCTCACTCAAGCGTCGGCCATGGCGCTGCCACCTTCAGGCTCAGATCTTGCGGACATCTACGCTACCACTCCTGTCCCTCCCTCTGGTCCTGCTTCTTGAGAACAGGCATCGGGAGTCAGAATTGCTCTGGAGAGAAGCTCCAGGACCCCCTCCGCCATGCCCACTCGCCGTCCGCCTACAGCTGCCTCCACACTCTTCCCAGGGGTCGTCCATCTTCCCCTGCAAACTGAGGCTGGCAAGTCTTTTCCAAAAACATGTTCTTCTTGCTCCTTTGGATCTATTTTTGACTCCTGACAGCTCGCTGTCGCAGGATCACCATCCTCATCCCTAGGAGAAAAAGCTGGTGTCAACACCCCTTCACGTGGAGCAGCCCAGGGCCTGTGAGCACCAGAGTCCAAGAAGAACAGAATTCCATGGCAGGCCGGGCTCTCAGACTTGCCTGCTCATGGATCTCCTCTTGAATCTTCCCACCTCTGGGCTAGGTCAGTGTGGTCACTGCGAGGGTGAACATCAGAACAAGGAAGAACGGGCCAGTGTCCTCAAGGAGTCCCCAGATCCCTGGGGACGCGGAACAGTGAACAAGCAGAAGGGCAGGGACAGACAGCCTGGCTGCGCAGGGAGGGGGCAGCAGCCTGTTCCAGGGCCCAGCCAGTGGGCGCCAGAACTAGAAGGCCTGGCACTGACACTCGCTGTCCCAGCTCTCCCCCCACAGCCCTGCCTTCCACATGAGAGAGGAATGAAGCACCCCCAGCCCCAAGTCCTCGGTTCCTGCCACAAGCTCAGAGACGGTCCGGGCTCTTCCCACAGCAGGGACGGTGGTGCAGGGCCTGACAGGTCTTGGCAAACTCTCCATCCTGTCCTGAGGACCTGCTCCGCCAGTCGCTCGGCAGTGGGTACTTGCCCCCTCCCTTCACTGTGGGGCACAAGGGATTCACGCCACACCTGAGAGAAGCCGGAATCTTCTGTAGCTTTCTCCACCACCTTAATCCAGCGGCTGGTGGTTCCCTGAATTGCAGGCGAGGAGGCCCTTGGTCCACCTACATCTAACTGAAATGAGTACTGACCTATTTTAAGCCTAGTAATCACTCCACTCTGAGAGCTACACAGAAACTGCTGCAGGGTCAGGATTGGTCCAGCCAGGGACAGGAGGCCAGCATGCCTGGAGCACAGGCTCTCAGGAGGAACGACTGCCACTGCAGCGTTGGGAGCAGAGGACCACCTCCCGACAGACCAGGGCCATCCCTCGGCTTCGTCACCACTTTCTCCTGCTACATCTGTACTCAGAGCAGTGGTTTGTTTAGAGGATGGGACGACAAACTAGATAAGCTGAATTCACATTGGCACAATCACCAAAGGACCACACAGGAGTGAAGAGGCTATATTTCATCAGGGCACAACCCGTTATCTGAAATTGCCACAGGTTTTCTCCCCCTTCAGTGAGACAGAAGGTTACAGCTGGGGACCAACACGTTTGTGATGGGAGCAGCAAGTCCCTTCAAACGCACGGGCTCCTGACTCGGCCGTACAGCTATTCCACACTCCGCTGCAAGAGGAGAGCACGTCACCACCACCTGACCCCAAACCCAGGTCATCTGTCAAAGTCCACACCACCCTGCTCTCCTTCAACCCTGAGAACACAAGTGCTTGACTGTGAAGCCAGGGGTCAGGGCCGCCCGTGCCTCCCTGGGAGGCCCCTAGGGAGGGCTGCAGATACAAGTGACAACAGAGCTCCCAGCTGAACCGTGGTCATACTGCAAGACCAGGATCACTGGAGTAAAAGAAATGGACGTGGCTCTTGTGATGTCTGTATGAGGAAAGACAACTGAAAGAGAGCTGCAGAAGAGGCTGTTGAGAGCGTCACAGAGCGAGAAGCCACCTAGCACGAGGACGGCCCTCTCCCACGGGAAGATGCACAGGAGACCTGGGGTGTTGGCAGCAGATGCCTCGTTCCGCGGCCTCACACTTGAACACACCACTTGTGAACGTGGGAGGCACACAGTCTGTCCAAGCGAGACCGAGCCGGGCACCGTGACACTGGCATCAGCCCTGCTTGTCACCCTGAAGGCTCACAACACCATCAGCCAATCTGCTGGCCCACCACTCAGCACATAACCACCACTCTTACAAAAAAAGAAAAGCCACAGCACATTTTTTTCCCCCAAAAATGCAAAATTTACGGAGGAAGCCGAAGCACAGCTGCAGTGACACAAGCGCACTGCGTGGGGCGTCTGTCCTCTGTTAATCTCTCCCCGCCCACGTCCGCACGGATCCTCTCGAGCTGGGATCTCAGACTCTCCTTCCCATGGGCTTATCTCTCTCTTGCAGGCAAAGTATGAAAATGACAATTTAAGATAACATATAATGGAGCTAATCTTTCTTCTGAAGATAAGATTTTAAAACCAGGAGTCACTGCACATTTGTGGGCTGGTGAATTAAATATAAAAATAACCAACACAATCTCAAAAGCAGAATGTTTCTTGCGACTCCCTCGGTCACATGAGCTTTTGGATAATGTCTGCTTCTCACATGTGGCTCATTTATTCCTCCAGAACCTAACTGAGTTTTGCTGTTTCCATATTGTCTTTTTTCCAGGCTGCCTTGGATCTGCAGTTGTAAACAAGCAGGCAGAAACCTCAAACCCAACTTAATGAGCTGTGCGCTCGCTCCTCCTGCTGCTCCACCCCAGCCCTGCCTGCCTCCATGTTGGCACGGGGGGATGTGGCCCGTGGGGCTTGAGGCTTTAAAATCAGGCTGGGTTTTGAGGAATGGAAAATTCCCCAATAAAACGACAGTGAGGTTTGAGTCCTGCCCAGACAGACACAGCTCCAGAAACTTCAAGTCGCTTGGTCCTTTCCTGCTTTCAATTCTGCCTAGAAAACCCCCAAGCCTTCCACAGTCCCCTCAAGAGAGACTACTGAGTGGGCTTGTCACTGGCCACACAGGAGCTCCCACTGACCCTCTGCTCTGAGGCGGGCAGGGGCAGGCATGCCCGGCCTACAGTCCCCTGTCCCATCGGGGCCTCAGCTGAGCCTCCAGAACGTCCAGGCAGGACCATCCCAGCCACAGCAGCCCCAACGCCCTGCCCACTGGCACGCAGAAGGGGGAGACTCAGGGCCTTGTTCCGTCTCTCAGATAGCAGCTCTCGGACACCACTGATGTAAGGTCAAGGCGCCAGCTCTAAAGAAGGACATGTGTCTGTCCCCTATTCCCAAGCTGTATGGAAGGTCAAGGACATTTCTCTTTCTCTTCTCCGCAATGAAGCAGTTCTGTGCACTGATACTTCAGAGGAAAATCTCTCCTGGAACCAGTCACTTTATTGGAGGATGTCACAGAGATGCCCGTGGGTGGCACTAAGAAACAAAATGTAGGCAAGACCAAGATGACAAATGATCCAAATCCTGATTAGAAATCAGGAACCAAACTACAGGACAGGCTCAGTGGTCAAGGGCAGACCTGGCAGTCAAGGACAGACTCTCAGTGGTCAAGGGCAGGCTCAGTGGTCAATGACAGACTCAATGGTCAAGCTAATAAGAGTTTTTCTGGATGGGATCCCACTGAGTGTATGATGCCCACAGTGTGGCTGCTGCCCACAGGGAGCTCACGCTCCAACTGGGATGACAAGCAGCTGCCTGGGAAATGGCACGAGACCAGGCAAAGCTGACAAGGACTCTTACCCACATTGGCCAAGGTGAGGTGCAGTCGGCCCTTCACCACTGTGTGGACACCGATGGGCTTGACGCTGCCAAAACCAGTCACGTCTCCACTCACCACCATCGTGTCCTGCTCGTATTCAGTCGCCACGACCTCAAGCTCATGTGAGACCTGCACAGCCGGCCGCCCTTGGCGGAGGAGATGCTGCAGAGGAGAAAGGCACCAATCAGAGGGCAGCTGGGGCAGAGTCCACCTTCTTCTGAAAACCTGAGTCCTTGATATCAAGTCTTTTCCACAAATTCTTTAATAAAGTGCAACCTGATTCACTCACTGGGTAAACACTGGGGATGCACAGCCCGCCTCATGCAGCCTCCTCCATGGGGAGAAAGACGGGAATGGAACAACAGCACAAGGCAGTGCTGCTGAGCAAGCCCCATCTCCGGGACAGTGAGAGCGCCAAGGGAGGTCTGAACTGGATCAGATCAGGTCAGAACGAAGATGTGCCTGCAGGCAGGGAAGGCGGGGGACACACCAGGCCCAGGATGCAGAGTACAGAGCCCCAACCCCCCGGCTGGGAGCAGAGGGCTTCACTATGGCTGAAAGACAGGCCAGGGGTCAGGAGGAGGGGTCGTGGGGTGGTCAGAGCCAAATCACGAGGACCTCCGTGCCAGGCCCAGGCTGGTCAGTGCCGAGCGAGAGCAGACGCAGGGCAGGGTCAGGACCTTCCTGATCACAGCTTCTTCCGCTGATCAAGTTGAACCCCTCAGTCCTCTGCCTGAACCCAAAGGCCAGTGCAGCCGACTGGGGGGGATGATGAAACCACACTCTGCCTCCGGCCCAGCTAGGACCCTCTCCCTGTGAGGCCTTGGGAACACGGCCCGACCTCTCAACTAGCGCTTCCCACAAAGAAGGGAAGCGGAAGCGCGGGGCCAGGCCAGGGCCCTGGCTCAAGGAATTCTTGCACTGCTCCCACAGCAGCAAAAGGGCTTGTCTCAAAGTGGAGACACCTCGACCTGCTCCCTCCCTAGGGCCCAGGGGCTTCCAGCTGCTTCTGACTCTGCCGGCTTCGCAGTGCTTGTCCACAATGCCCACAGCCACATACACGGCCATGGTGCAAGGGTCTCGGTGGCTGGACTACCGGAAGACCCCTCTGGAGAACAGCCAGGCAATGCAGGCAGCGACGCCCAGCCGTGCCGGGAAGCAAAGAGAAGCCAGCAGAAACGGGACAGTGCTTCTCACCATGAGGCTGTAGCAGCTCCTTTAAAAGCTAACACCTCACAGAGGCAAGAGCACAGGAGGCAGCGGGCCCCTAGTCGCATTTCAGGAAGATCAGCCTTGACGGCCTCCTGGGGCTGCAGGTCCTGTGGCTCGGGCACCTGAGGATCCCACGTTTGCACACCTCTCACTCAGAAATGCCACTTCCAGGCAGTTCTCATCTAGGCAGAGCATGATGGTAAAGGCACCAGCGTCCGAGTCAGAGCTGGGCTCAACACCTGGCCCTGCTGTTGTCAGCGTGACCCTGGGCCTCGGCCTCTGCGCCGGACACAAGGATCTAGGGCTGCGCTGAGGACACGTTCAGTGAAGTGGAGGAGCAGCCAGGCATCGAGGCAGCTGTCCTGCTGCCCTAACAAGGCCAGCACTGCCAGCACCCTCAGGAAATGAGCTCAAGATGCAAACGGGCGTCAGACGTCCACCATGCTGTCCCAAACAGGAAAGCAGCACCAACACGGCCGACCACAGGGAACGGGGTAACCGCGTCAGAACATACCCACGGCGGCGAGGACGAGTCCATCAAAGACTAACACAGCGCCTGAAACACCCCGGGGTCTGCAGTCACAGGGGATTTTCCTTCCTTACCCAAATTTTCCATCTTTTCTATATGAATTTTGAAGTTAAGGACTTCTTTATTTTTAAAAAGTAAAATTGAATTTTAAGTTATCCAAGTCTGTTTCAATAAACATAACAGCATTTAAGGGGCTCCTCATGAAGGACAAGATCAAATAACTCCATCTCCAGGTGTGTAGCACAAACGGGACATGAGAGTCCAGCTGGGGATAAAGCAGGAGCGACCAAGGGTCCCGAAGGCTCCACAGCCAGGGTTCCTCTCTGATCCTCCAGTGTCCCAGCACCGCCATGGGCATCTCCCCCGTCCTCCCTCCCTCCGTCCATTCCCCTCTTCCCTCCCTCCCTCCATTCGTTCACTCTCGGCCATGCAGTACCCACTGCAGCATAGGACTATGCCGGAGATGGGTCAGCAACCATTCCATCCCACCCTCTATCTGTCACCAGCCAGTGTAGGAGACAGACAAGCAATGGCCATGATGACCCCATGAGGCCTAGGTCACAAGCCATGTGGGGACTGAGGGTCTGGGATGAAGAATGAGAACAGCAGCCGACACCTACTGGTCCTCACTTGTGTGGACCCCCACCCCAGCAGTTTGTGTGCATGCAGGGCCCCAGAGGAAGAGGAGCCTGGTGTCAGGGGAGCCATGCACACAGCCCGGCCACTGCAGTACAGAAGCCATGAGCTCTTCACGGTGAAGAGGCGTGGAGGTGCAAGGAGTGACGGGTCTGGATCTGCAGGTCTCAGTGACCATGCCAGCTGCTGCAGGCGCAAGGCTCAGGCAGGGGGACTGAGGAGGGGCTGGAATCCTGAAGGAAACAGCTGGGTGGGATTAAAGAAAAGTGGATGAATGTCAAAGAGACTCAGGAGCTGCAGTTACGTGGTGCTGTCTCCTCGCCCACCTCCAGCCCAGAGCTGGGAGGAAAACTCTCAGGATGTCACGTCAACAAGTGGGCATGGCCCCGTCCTGGGCCCAGGAGCTACCACGCAAACTCTACGTTGACTCTCTGGGGTCCCCGTCATGCAACAGAGAAGGCTTGGGGAGAGATCCCAGGGAAGAAGATGGAATTAATGCATGGATTTAGGTTTTAGTATGAGGAGAATGAAAAGCACAATCAGAGAAAGAATTGGATTCTAATACTAATTAGCATTAGAAAAGTACAATTCACTAACTGATAACAGGCACAGGTAACGTTTTCACACCCCATCCCTGGATCCCTGGTCCCTTCCTTCCACGCCAGGCCCTCAGGTAACAGGCTGACCTGGAGCTGCTCTCAGGGAATTTACAGCCTCAGGTCAAAGGAACGGAAGGCGACATTACCTGGTAGGTGGGTTTGGAGGAGGAACTGATAACCGAATCTAACCTAGCATTACAGAAGTTAGACTTCGTGAGAATCTTTTCCTTTTGGGAAGGAGAGAATTCAGCAGTGTTTTTAATTTGTGAACAAGAAGCCGAACCACAGTCCAGAGCTGGATGATGATTGACAGTACTGAGCAGACAGACCTGCCCAGGAGGGACGCTCCCCCCTCACTGTGCTCGGCCCACAGGAGACCCGCTACCTTCATCTGCACGGCCGCAGATCCGACGAGGAGCAAGGAGTCACCGTCCCAGACGTCGATCTGCAGGGTCTGCACAGCCAGGTAGTGAGTGAACCAGCGCTGCTCTCCAGGTTTCAGGAATCCAGGATCCACCAGGTACTTCAGCTGGAAGCCGGGAGACCCTGTTCAAAGAGGCCCCAGACAAGTGCAGAAGTAACTGGAGTCATTTATCATCTTTACACTTTGAAGAGATTCCTGCTCTGGTCCTGATTACTAATTTCTGCTTCCATCATAGCTACAGTTTAATAAGCACATTAATCAAAAACACCATAAAGTATCCAAATTAACAACAAAATGAAGAGTCGTGTTCAGCAGACTACGTTTCTTTCCAATACATACAATAAACTCCACCCAAAATAAAATTTATGGTTGTCGCCAAGTCCCCGTGACACAGTCCACACTGGACGAGAATAAACGTGGTGGGCTGGCAGGGACTTTATTATTCTGGGCGCACGGGATTCAGGGAGAAATGCAGCCCAGATCTGTTGGCACCGGGACGGTCACACACACGCAGAGCTTGAGCTGAGATCAAGCTCAGCACACGCCGCTCAGGAGCCCCAGAGCCCCCACCCCACGCCCCAGGGGACCCAGCCCCTCCAGGGCTCACTCCAGGCTCCCAGGCTTATTACTCAGAGACGGGACCAGACTGTGGCCCCTCCTTCATCTCCTCCAAGTGGCGTCGTCATTAATTCTAAACTGACAAAAGTGCCACTGAAATCACCGTCAGTTAAAGTGTCAGAACAGCCACGCTGGGGAGCACATTCAAAACAGCATCTTCCCCCTTCCTATCAGAAATGTGACAACATTCATGAAGCCCTGATGAGGAGAACACTGGCTCTGGGGAGGGAGGGGCAAATGTGTACTTGGCCCCATGAGGCCCCGGGCTGAGGTCCTCACCCTACTCCAGCCACTGCAGCCCACGGGCGCCCACACGGCAATGTCCCCTCTGCTCTCCTCAAGACCAGATGGCACTTTCAGCAGAAGAAGGGAAACAGGCCCAGATGGGGACACAGCTCTGGGGGCTAGAGGGGAGGAGGACCCCCGGTGGGCCGAAGGGAAACGGAGTGAGGCCCAGCTCCAGCCACAGCGGGATCATGGGTGGGGGCACCTCACAGAGTGGAGGCACAGGAAGACGTGAGGAAGAAGGCGGGGGGAGGGGGGAACCTGGCAATGACATAATGCAGTGGCAGGCCAGCCCCCAGCATTGCATCTCAAGTGACCAGACCAAGTCACAGGGCCAGCGGAGGCCAAGAACACTCATGGGCCAGCTCTAGAACTAAGTAGCCCGTGGCGTCTCGTCAGTCTCACAAGACGCACTTAGAGACAGGCGCCCTGTAGCTGGTTCCCCAGAGGCGCAGTGGGACTGAAACAAGTGCCCGTGAGTGGCCAAGCCCACGCTCGCGGCACCAACCGCACAGCTCCACTGCCAGGCCCGCCGGGACTGCAGGGAGGGCGCAGCTTGAGCACCGAGCTCCACAGTGCTCAGACTCCTGGCTCAAACAGGCAGAACAGATTTGAACTCTGTGGGCCGACATCCCAAATGACACCTACGGACACCGTTCCCTGGGTGCTGCCCACATTCCACCTCCAGCGTCTCCCAGAGCCACTGATCCACCACCACTGGGCTCTCCACCCAGAGATCTACTTGCACCCAAACGCAGCACGGCCCAACTGGGCCCTGCATCTGCTCCCCAAGTCAGCTGCTCCTTGCCTCATCCCAAACTGCCCCACAACGCCCAGCTCGCCGGCTCCTCCTGCTGCACCATCGCTAGCTCATCAGCTGCCAGGTCCTTTCAGTACGACCATTAATTCACAGTCAGCCAGGGTGACGGTGCACTGAGCGCTCTGGGGGCGACATTGACAGCGTGGGGGCCATCCCAGTCTGGGCACCGTCACAAGCCCCTCATGCTGGAGCCTCCCAGTTCTTCCCCACTGCAGGCTCAGACAACCTGCTCCTCAGTGGTTTTTCCCTGAGGTCCAAGCTCTGCACAGTCCATCCCACAGCACTGCCAAAGCGCCCACAAAGGGAACACTGTGTCATCTCCCTCCACTCAGAAGTCCATGCTGGTGCTGACTCAACCCAGACAGACTCCCAGGGGCAGTGGCGCCCCCGCAGGGTCCACTCAGGCTCCCGAGCTTACCTCCCTGGCCCCTTCACAAACACCATGCCCCAGCCCAGCTGGGTCCTTACTGGGCCTCAGTCCAGCCCCACTCCCATGTCCGAATCTGGTAGCTGCTCCTCCTCTGGCTAGATGGTCCTTCCCCACCCCTCTTCTCATTCTCCACGTCTGCATCATGACTCACAAACACCTGCTCTGTGAAGCATCCACATTCCCTCAGATGACAGACACGAGGACACTCAAGTCTACAACTCACGATGACTGTACAGCAGCTACAAATATAAGGAGCAAATAACCAAGCAGACATCTAAGGATGCAAGGGGAAACAGACGAAAACACAGTGATAGTAGAGACTGACTGACCACTCTCCTTCCAATGCAGGTCATGGAGACGATAAATAAGTAAGAACATAGAAGACCAGACCCGCCAATCCATAAGATAGAGCGTATGCATATACATCTAACTCTGTACCCCAATAATAGAGACTACATCTTTTCAAGTGTATCGGAACATTAATAAAAACCAACTGTATATTACACCACAAAGAAAACCTAAATATGCTCCATAAGGCAGAAATAATACAAACAATATTCTCTGATCACAATGCAACAAACTGGAAATTAGAAACAATTTTTAGAAACAAATTTATATACTTACTCTAAAATAATTCTGTCAAAGGGAAAACATAATTAAAACAGATTTTCTTGAAAATACTATTTATCAGAATCACCAAAACATAAAGCAACAACCAAAGGAAAATTCATAGCCTTGAATACTTTATATCCATAAAAACAAAAGAATTAAAATAAACGAATTAAGCAACTCAAATAAATTAGGAAAATAACAATAAAGAAAATCAAAAAGCCAAAGGAAGGTAATAATAAAGACAAATGCAAAATTTAATTGATCAGAAAACAGCAAAGCTTATAGGAGGCAAAAAGAAAGACACGGAAGGAGAAATGAGCAAATAAAATCATGACTGTTCTTGAGCAGGACAGCTGCCATCCTACAAGTGCAATTCTCTCCACGTTAACCTTTGAGCTCACCAGAACCCCAATCAAGAGCCTAAAAAGTTCATATGGAAAACTAAACAAGCAGGAATGTCCGGAGAACCCTGCAAGGAGGAGCACAGTGGTGGTGTGGAGCTTACCAGAAATCAGAACAACGTAAGGCTCTGACAGCACGACAGTTGTGCGTGGACAGACAGACAGTCTGAGGAAGAGCTGGCCAACCCAGCTGTGAGCTCAAAATGGCTTTCATATTTTCAAATGGTTGTAAAAAAAAAAAAAAGAAAAAAGATCCCATATGAGACGCAAAAAGTCTGAAATATTTACTATCTGGCCCTTAACAGAAATCAGTGTGCCAACCTCTGGTTTAATGGAACAAAAGAGAAAATCCAGACATAAACCCAAGTATTAAAAAAATGTTGGTATAGGGGCCAGCCTGGTGGTGCAGCGGTTAAGTTCACACATTCCGCTTCGGTGGCCCGGGGTTCACTGGTTTGGATCCTGGGTGCGGACATGGCACCGCTTGTCAAGCCATGCTGTGGCAGGTGTCCCACATATAAAGTAGAGGAAGAGGGGCACGGATGTTAGCTCAGGGCCAGTCTTCCTCAGCAAAAAGAGAAGGCCCGGCGGCAGATGCTAGCTCAGGGCTAATCTTGCTCAGAAAAAAATAATGTTGGTTTATGATACAGGTGGCTCTCAAGTTACTAAAGAAAAAGATGGACTTTTTTAATAAATGGCAGTGGGTCAACTGGATAGACATTTAAAAAAAGATAAAACTGGATCCACGTCCCATCACACAGCAGGATGAACAAATAGATCAGAAACCTAATGCAAAAGGAAATCTACATGTCCTGGAAGAAAACATGCATGACTGTCTTTACGAGCTGGGAGAGGAGAAAGCCTCATCCAGGGCTCAGGAATCTAGAAGCAATAAAAGAAAAGATGGACACATTAGACTACATAAAAATAACACTTTACACAGCAAAACCCACCGTAAACAAGTAAAAAGACAAATGACAAAGAAGGAAAACATATTTGCAATTTACATCACAGGCAACAGTTAATCTCTCCAATAAATAGAGCTTCCCCCACCAGAGGACAAAATAGACTAACAATCTGATAGAAAAATGGGGAAAGATATGAATAGAAGTTTGCAGATAAATACAAACAAATATCAAAGATGCTCAACTTCATTCATTCCAAGAGGAATACAAATTAAAACTTCAGTAAGATCCATCTCATATCAATCAGACTGTAAAAATCCCAAACTTTAACCACACCTTCTGTGGGCAAGCCCTGAGCACACAGGAGCCTCACGCATTGCCAGCAGAGCACGGAGAGGTCACATGAGAACAAAGGGGAGGCGGCCCTGTCTATCAACATCACTGAAGCCTGGATCCCAGAATCCCAGTCCTAGCAATCTGCCCTAAAAACACAGCTCTGTACACAGAAACATGAGGTTACTAATTGCTGCATTATCTGAAATAGCAAAACCCTGGAGGCGACCCAAACATCCCTCAGCAGGACACGGGTTGAACGAACCAGACAGAGCATGCACCCAGTGCAGTATGACGCAGCTGCAAAACCAATGCAGCTGATTTCCACAAGGAGGGGGTCTCAGGATATGGGTCCTGAAAGAAGCAACGTGACAAGAGCGTATTTTTGGTGTATATTTGGTGTGCTACCTATTGAATAAGAAAAAAAGGAAAAATAGAAATATAAATATTTGCTTATTTTAAAAAAACAAAACAAACCAAAACACTAGAAGGAGAAGCCAGAAACTAAAAGCCTGGTACCTCTGGGAGGCTGAGCAGGGCAGGATGCTCTGAGGGAAGGAGAGTTGAAGAGAGCCTGAAGTACACATTTGACTACAGTTTTACATTTTGAGTCTTGTAAATATTCACAAAAATTAAATCAAAAAGGAAAGAAAGCAAACACAAAATTGAAAACAAATTGAAACAAATGAACCTGACCAAATATCAAATTGGTAACCTG